TTTCGTATCCTTGGTGATTTCCGTGGTAATGGTCATTCATAATTTTCTCCGGAATATAGGGTTCCAAGGCTTTAAGTTCATAATCCAAATCGATTCTTTGGTAAATAATTTCTAGTTCTTTTTCTGCCATAATTTATTATAATTTTTAAATAAAATATTCTTCAAATCAAGTGTCAAAAAACATAAAATAAATACAAATAATCAAAGTTTTATCTTGGGCTAACAAAGAAAGAAAAAAGCATTTGGTGTTTTTTTAATTTTGTTTGTTTAGTCGAACATTAATTTCACTTTTATGCTTAAAATTAGTTTATACAAGAATGACGCGAGCCAGAAGTACACCAGCCACCAGAGAACGGCGAAAGAAAATTTTGAAACAAGCAAAAGGTTTTTATGGTTCTAAGCATAAACTATTTAAAACCGCCAAAGAACAATTAATGAATGCTTGGGACGATGCTTATGACGGAAGAAAACAAAGAAAAAGAACAAAACAAAAAACATAATCCGGATGCTCCTCTTCCACCGATAAGTGAAAGTAAAAGTGAAAACGGCAACAATACAATTTATACAATTTCGTGTAAATTCTGTGGTTATTATTGAAGCGAAAGCGTGCCAAAACAACTCAAGGAAACTTATCAGGAAAAAACCAAAGAGTGGTTAATTAAAGTTTATCAAGAACACCAAAGAAAATTTGCTAAACAGGAAGTTAATAAAGACAATGAAGCCACGGAAAAAGACAAAGCAATAGAAGAAACTTTGGCCAAAGAAGACGAGCAATTGAACAAAGTCAAAAATTTAGAGAGAGAGAGAGAGAGAGAGAGTGGTTCAAATCCCTCTTCATCGGCAAGCCACGATTATTTGCGCCGTGGATAATTGGCGGAGTAGCAATGATAGTTATAGGAATAATTGCTTATTTGCTTATCAGAAAGCGTAAAAAATAATAAATATTATGAATAACGAACAAAAGGGTAATTACTACATTATTGCTGACCACTTACGAACTACGATTTTTGCCTTGGCTGATGGTGCTGTTTTTGAACCCAAAGGTCGAGGTTATATTTTGAAAAAACTAGTTAAAAGAGCAACCTTGCTCGGTCATTTTCTTAAATTTCCTCCCGAGAACTTACTACTATTTAGCCAAAAATTGATTGAAATTAATGGTTTGTTCTATACTCACTTAAAAGAAAACCAAAACTTAATTCTTAACAATTTAAAAAAAGAAATCAATCGCAACTTCAAATTTATCCAAAATTCCACCCAAAAAATTACTCAATATTGTCAAAAAAGCCCGCAAAAATTGATTCCTGCCGAAAAAATCTTCTTTTGGTACGATACGGCAGGCGTGCCTTTGGAATTGATTGAACACCATTTAAGTCAAAAAAGATACAGTTTTTCGCAAACAGAATTTAATAAATTGCTTGCGGAACAAAAAAAACGCGGTCAAGAAGACCGTGCAAAAAAGGAAGTAGCAGCATTCTAATTGTAAAAGTAATATGATAATATTACCTATTTTTCACTAAAATCATAATTAGCGGAAAAAACAGCATCACTAGAAAAAAAGTAATAAAACCAATTACTCAAAATTGCTGATTTTTTTTTTTTTTGGTCGCACATTTTTTGCAAACCGTTTCGCTTCCGCCTCCTCACCAGGGAAATCAGCCGCCGGTCATTTGGATTTCTTGGCCTACCGGAATAGGTCGCTGACAATTACTACAAAGCATATAAATATTTTTAACACGCTGAGGCAATTTTTACCAAATTAGGGATAATCT